TTTTGTAATGAACTCGTGAAAGATGAAAACTTTCACTAAACTCGTGAAAAATGAAAGATTTAACGTGAATTTGTAAAAATTGAAATTTTTCACGCAAAAATTTTGTTCAACATGGCAGCTGCATTCTTGGTTTTTGTTAACGAAATAAGACGAGAGAAATAATCTCAGAATAATGCGAAGGATGTTACGTGACACACAAAATCCATTTGATATCCAAGAAGAAATATTTCAAAATTTGTATAGGTAATATTAATTATGTCTCATTGTATATACATTGTCCATAAGCATTTTTTTATTAATATTTTTAGATTATATATGAGTGTGTATGTGTGTCTATATTTACACAGATTTTTATAAATTTTGACACACACACACACACACACACATATATATATATATATATATATATATATGCATATATATTTAATTATATATACCATATTCTTTTTTTTTTATCACTACTTTAAATGTGAAGTAACAATAATATAATATCAATATAATAATTTCTCATTCAACAATATAAGTATAATATAACACATCTGTACTTATATCTGCTTGCTTTCTAGCATATTATATTTGCTTTCCAGTAAGAGGGTGTATATCAGTTGGACACGGGGCAATTGGACACAGTCCAATCACAAGTCGCTGTTCCAAGGGACCCTACAAATGTCTCTAATCACACGGTGCTGTGATTGGCTGTGTCCAAATGCACCGTGTCCAAGTGCACCGCTCCCCCAGTAAGACACATGTAACACAAAGTGATATAAAACAATAAGGTGTCCAATACAGTGCTAATAGTAATGCAACATAACACAAATCTGCTTTCACTGCCTATCACACGTCATCACGCTTTAATTGGCTTTCGTTGTTCATTTTTAATGAACGTAGGATTCTTATGTCAAATGCCAATTGTATAACCATAAAAATTAAAGTCACTATAAGAAATTCTACTCACTTTGTACATAATATGCGAGTGTAGTATTACATTATTTTTCACATTTAAGCCACATCTCTTGATGTTTAAAAATTTTCATGGAAACTTACACAATTTACATATAAAGAAGAACGTCTAT